TATATGTGTCTGAGTAGTTAAAGAATTTTGTAGAAGTAGATCCTAAGTGTCATCAACCCTTTACCCAGACAACGTCATTGCTGCTTCCATATTCCAAACAAGCGAGCACTCCCACTTCACAAAGGAAACCAGCTAAAACAATTTATGAGAATACCACCTCTAAAAGCAGCAGCAATCCAAAAATAAACCCAAAAGACCTACTTTCCAGGATATGACATAAAACTATGAGTCCATTTTGTTCTTAATTTTAGAATGAAAGCTATGCAAAACCCTTTTATTTAGTACAGATACAATGGTGGATTGGTTAATTAATTTTTGTTTAATTTGGGAAATAATTTACACCTGTACACATTACATATGTACATGTTTATACATTTTACACATTTTCTTTTCACTTAAAACGTGTAAATGTACATCCATTCACCACCGTTTTGGTGTAGTGGCAAGTATACAAGACGCGTACACAAATTTTCATTACGTAGTTCTTAAATATGATAATGAGGGCCAGCTTTTCAAAGAAAACCATCTTCACTAACAGTCAAAATGTTCTATGATGTTGTGTTGCTCCATCATTTGCCACTAGCCCTGTAAGACCTGGTCATTATGATACCGATACCTTTAGTAATTCAGTCAAGTTCAATTAACCGTACAGTTCTTTGATTTATATCTGACAAACACCTTAGTAATCAAATGTTTAACTACATTGATTAGAAATACTAGCATAAGAGTAACAATCTTAGAAAAATCAAATTCAAACTCTACACATGCAAGAGAACACATTTCTTGGGTAAACTCACCTACATAAGAAATCATTTTGCCCTTCAAATACTTTATGCTTCTTTTCCCATTCAAAATGATCCTCTATCCCCGAAGAGAAGGTAAACAAACATATAGCAGCCTTCTAGTAAAGGATCACTGAAGTTTAATAGTGTCATAACGTCTACAGTTGCTGCTTTAGGGAACAGATTAAAAATTACCATTTGGTTTCAGTATTTGCTTAATTAACTCTTACCTACAAAACTCAGAATCCACATTCTGGTCAATCATTTCCAATCTTTTGACATTCATACCACTTAAGTTACAGTCAACCAGTCAACAAGTATTTATCGCTCTGCCAAACTAGTGAAATAAGCATAGCAATAACAATAGATTCCTTTTAGGGTTACATACTCTAGAAAGAACATTAAAAAGAATCATTACCTGTATAAAGACAGAAACAAAGAATATTAAGAAAATGTTACCTGAAAGTGCTGAGAAATGTCTTTTTTCCCCTCACTCTAGAAACATCAAAAGAATGTCTTCAAGATTTATTTATTTAGGAAAAGAATTCACCTAGGAGGCACACAAGATGATTTTATAATTGCCATTTGACTCTCAAAAATTTTTGTGTTAATTTATTGCTAAATGGAACTGTAAACTAATAAGTGTCTATTATAGTTTCCTGTATTTTTCAGCTGGGATTGTAATTAAATGAATTTATATGTCAACCATATTTAAAACTATAAAATAGAGATATTGTAAAATTTAAGAAGTCATTAACAAGTTATATGTTAAACTAATATTATGATCGTACTACATTTCTAAATCTCAACTCCTAAACATACACACACACTTTTCCGCCTTGGGGAAAATAAAACACATTAAATTAAAATTTAAAAAACAAAAAAACACCACAGGGGATTTTTAGGGCAGTGAAACTATTCTGCATGATACTGTAATGGTGGACACATGTCAGTCTACATTTGTCCAAACCCACACAACGTAGAACACAAGGAGAGAACCCTAATGTAAACCAAAGACTTAAGTTAATAACAATACATCGGTATTGGCTCATCAATCATAACATGTGTCCCACACCAATGCAAGATGTATTAACATCTTGGGGACGCCTGGGGGGTTGGGGGAGACATGAGGAGGTCTATGTGAACTTTGTGCTTTCCACTCACTTTTTGGTAAACTTAAAACTACTCAAGAAAAATAAAGTGTATTAAAAAGAGAGAGAGAATTCAAACAAACATCATGAACATCTTACCTTTGTATTGGTTAGAATTCAATCATCAAAATTAATAAAGTATCTCCTTTGTCATCAGCTGCAAATTTAAATAGTTTTAGAAATTATGCCACTATTGATAAGCCCTGATGCAATGCATCCTATCAAGTACAGACACCATCATCTGCCTTGCTCATTTCCTCCTTTTAGCGTAGCCACCTGTACCTTTGCTTCATTTTGAGGCTTGAAAATGACAGTGAGCACAGGTCACAGAGTGTGTGCAGATGTTCAATTCAAATTACAAATCCAACAATTTGTGCTTATCAATCATAGAGAGAAGGTACACGGTGTAAAGTAGGGCATTGACCTGGAAGCTGTCACCATTATAGTACATCTATGGGTACATCTGCAGTAGTATATAGTACTACATCTATAGTACATATAGAAGCTTGGTTTCAGAGGTATTCTAAAAAACTAAGAAGCTTTTAAAATATAGGATGGGCAGGAGAATGATGGCTCAGTCACTAACATCTAAGCAATTCCTCCTAGGCATTTAACAAAAAAAGGAGAAATGTTTCAACTGAGGTATTAGTATTGGGTGTTATTTTGGCATTCCAAGCCTGAGTGTTTTACTAGGTTTCCACTTAGAACTGTCTGATGGCCTTACCTAACGCCCAAGGCCTTGTGTTCAGCCCACAGAAGTTATAAATTCTTTGGCCAGAACTTGCCATGAAGAGCCAAGTCTCCACAAGAGAAACCAGGAATGCAAAGAATGCTTGAAACAACTCAAAATATCAATCCATCAAGGAGTGTCTGTGGTACACCTACTACACATCTAACACAGAAATAATTTTCACACTAAAAAGCATTTGAGAAGTACTGATATATTATTGATGTCACAGACGTATCAATAATTCATTGTTAAATAGAACGTAGACCTCAGAAAATGTTTCACAAAAATAAAATTATGTTTCCACTAGGAAATATGTTCAAAATATGAATTAAATGGTAATATCTACTTTAACAGTGAAGCAAACCAAAAATTCAGGAAAAGAAATTAGAGGAAAACATAAATTCAAAATAGCCATGGCGAGAGTGAAATTTTGCTACCTTCCATAGTCTAGTAGTTAACCCATCATTCCTAGCTCTCCAAGTCAAAAACCAGAACTAAGCAAAATTTTAAAGGTGACTCAGATCAAACAAAAACCAAAGCCCCAGTGATTACCTCAGTTGTCCAGACTCTCTGTCTCCCACTCAGTTCACGATTTCATTATTTTCAGGCTTTCTTCAGGACTATGAACTTCACTTTTAAAATGTCTTTAAATATTTTCAGCTTCCTTTTTTCTCTCCTTATTCGTATTCCCTTTCCAACCCCCAAATTAATTTTAACTCTGCTCAGACTCACTTTGCATTTTGAAAAGCTACTCTATTTCAAAGTTTAAGGAAAAAAAAGAAGCATTATTCTAAGGAAATGCCCTCTGTCAAGTGGCATAAATTAAACTCTTCAAGAATGATCACTGAAATGATTCCAAGTGTTGAGAGAACTGGCCTCTGCTGTTCAGACTGAGACAATTATCTTGTGAGCACAGGTCAGATCCCTGCGTGGGGTCATCTAAACTGACAACAAGCAGGCCTCAAAGTGTTGACTTGCCTAGACAGACCCAGCCTAGCCCCACCGTGGGTCAGTTCCTAGGACCAGTTCAGGAACACCATGAAAAAATATTTAAATGATTTAACAATGCAAGAAGCTAAATTCAAATGGTGAGGAAATAACATGAAGGGAACTAAATAAATATTCAAAAAGCAGAAATCCTTTTGCAAAATAAAAGCAGCTATCATACGATCTGTCTGCAGCAGCAGCTCCCACAAACTTTTCTGTGCATCAGGATCATCAGGATTGTCTATTAAAACTCCACTGGCAACAATTCGTGGGCAATGGGCCTGTTGGGGGCTAAGAAAACTGCTTTAGTAACCAGTACCTTCATACTACCATGCAAGGTGTGACCACGACCTTTGTGTTATGTCTACCTTTGTCTCACCCCTTTGCCTCACCTCTCCCTTTGTATCACCTGGACACCAGCCCGTTTCCCCACTGCTACAAAAAAAAGAATGAAAATAATCTTTGCTGCCATCATTAGCTACGCACAGAAGGATTTTTCTTTCCTGGCATGTTGTTATTCTTTCCATCATAAAGTAAACTGCTGGAGGGAGTTAAGGTCAGACTATCAATCATAAGCATTTTTTTTCTTGTCTTCTACCTGGAAAGTAATATACATGACTTATGTTTGCTGCTAATTCCATAATTTTAGGCTTCATTTCCAAATAAAAATGCCAAGCTGTCAAATATAGCTGCTGGCTAAATTAAAAAAAAAAAAAAAAAAAGGAACGAAATGATAATGGAAGAATCCCTGGCCCTCCTGCCAATCAGACCTCTCCCTGCACTCCTTGCATCGCTCCTGGGTTAGTGAACTCGTGACTTCCTTACCTGGTCTATCCATATAGTTCACCTGAACCACCCAACTATCTCGACTCATCACCTCCCTTTGCAAGCTGAGACCTGGTGATTGTGTTTAGAAGAACCTGGTAGCTTGACCATAAATTAAAAGTCTGGATAACTTTCTACCAAGACTTACTGGAGTCCAGTCCAATATTGTATTATAGCTGGTCATTTTTTTCACATTTTAGAAACTAATCATATTCAATATATTAAAACTATGTTATTTCTGTTAAAATTACTTTATACTGCAATACAAGCAGGTAACACTACCATTAGAATTGTTTAGCAAGGCATTTCCTTCAGTTCAGGGCTTGTGGGGAAATAACCATGTGTGGCATAAATGGCTTAATTCTAAGCCAGAGCTCAGCGCTGAAGTAAGGTGTAAATTGTAGCATTTAAAAGACTGAACAGTGCTGCCCATCAAGACTAACCACTTTGAAAAAGACAACAAAACTTGTATTGAACATGAATTAACCGAAGAAAGCAGAAAGTGTCAAAATGTTAGGTTCTTACCAGAAATGGACTCCAGCAAATGCAGGAGACACACATTATAGCCAGGAGCTGGATGACCATTTCGAAATGATGAGATCTGCCTTGTCTGTGCTGCTGACTCTTAAATTTAACTCTTACAAGTGTAATTCCTGTGATGGCATTGCACAAGAAGGAAACACCAAGGGCTAAGAGCCCCAGAAAAGAAAAAAGTAGAAGATAAAACCTATCTTCCCAGTCTTTGATGTGTTCTGTGTTGTAGAAACACCAGGTCCTCGAGGCTTGAATTTTATAGTCGCGATGCCCAAGGATGGGCAGTAAAGCTACGAAAATGGCAAACAGGCACACGCCACTCAGGATCATTTTCACATGTTTGGATGTAATTTTCGTAGAATGAAATATTGGTTTGGTGACTCCGATACATCGCTCAATGGCCATCACACTGCCTAGAAGAAGTGGGCACAGACCAGAGAACACCATGCAGATACCAAAAATACTGCAAAGGATGTTTGATTGGTCAAAGCGGATCCAATCTTTATCAGAAGCATATACAAAGACTGCTATAGCTCCATTGATGAGGTGGCCAAAGAAGTCTGTGATGACCAGGGCACTAGCCAAAAGCAGAAACGATGCCTTGGACTTCTGTCTAAATCTCTGATATGCCTTCATGAGAATAGCAATGGCAAGGCTGTTTGATAAGATTCCCACTGTCATGAAGATTATTGAAAAAAACACTGAGAGCCGGTTTTCCGTCTGGCAAGTTGTATTTGAAAGGAGCCCAGCTGCAGGAGACACTGGCTGTTTGGAATTGTTCATGGACATTGTTGTGGAGATAAAAGCCGGCCACTCAAGTCATCTCCCTCTCAAAACAGTGCAGGCTTGCCGTCCAGACATCTGTAGCATAAAGACAGAGGATTTATGAGCACCGGTAACTGCTCATCTGACATTTAAGACCGAAGCGCTCCAGCACCCCGTGGTGGGAATCAAATTTATCTGGCCTATCAAAAGCAAGGTTGCATCATAGTGAAAACAGCACACATCTGCCTGTGGTTCCACGACTCATTTTCAAGGTAAAGAAGCTGCCAAAATTGAGACCCCCTGGTTAACCTCTGTGGCCCCTCTGCACAGGGGCACCTCCTGAATCTCCTCCTGACACTTCACTGACACATTAAAACTTTTACAAAAATCACTAACAAGATTAGATTTAAACCCAATAAAGTTCTTAAAGGCATAATAGTCTATTTAAATAACTAGATAATATTTTAAGGTTTTCGCTTTTTTCTTTGATGGGCTTTGTCCCCAAACTGCAGATTAGTCCTTAGGTGAACTACCTGTTTGTCAGGCAGACAAAACAGTCTGCTCCAAACTTTGGGAGGGGGTACAGGGGACCAGCAAGCTCATTGATGTTAAATGGGGCTTCTCTGAATAAGTTCTAAAACTATTTGATTTAGATCAAATATCAGCAAACCACACGCATCAGTGACCCATGGAAGGCAGAGCGCTGAGGCTCTAGAACGGTTTTCTGGTCCAGCTACCACCTGTGCAGAAACCCTGGCTTGTGATAGGAAAGGAGGCGAGGGCGTTCACCATGAGCACATCTGCCTAGATGCTGTGAAGTTACGGCTTCAGGGTAGCAACATCCAACACAAAGTATTTATTCGTCGCTCTTTCCCTAGTGAGTTGAGGCCTGAGTCACAGACCCTCAATACCCACGACCACAGCCACCCCGCCCCGAGCTAATTCGCTTGGCGTTTCCCGAGCAGCTTTCCGGGAGGCTGGGAATTCCGGAGCCAGCCTTTCCTGGGACCCGCTCCAGTGGGGCCGCCCGGGTTGCCGGGAGGGCGGCCGCCTCCTCCAGGTCTTACTCACAGCCCGACTTTCTCCCGTTACGTCCCCGCCGCCCGCATTGCTCTGCTTGCAACATCCTTCCCAAACCTCCTAACTTGCTGAAACTTTCTGCGATTGCTCAAACGCCAGAGGGCCGTTTTCCCTCCCACCCCCGGGGGCGCCAAAGGCCTGCTCTGGCCCAGGTGCGGGACTCGAAGTGTCGCCGGGAGGGAACCACGCGGCGAAAAGGGGATCGCTCCCTTCGCCCATTTCCCTCCTCTGAGACCCTCTCTACCCGGTCCCCGTGCGGGTAGCGCAGAATCGGGACGGGTCAGCCCGAGTACCCTGCTCTCTGCGAATCTTCCCAGCTTGGGGCATCTGGTCCAAACCTGTTGCCAAGCTCAGGCTAAGGTGCCCTCCAGTGCGGCCGGCTGCAGCTGCCGCCGGGCGACCGGAGGTGGGGTAGCCAAACCTCCGTCGAGTTGAGCATCCCGAGGCCGACGCGTGGGAATCCAGCCGCTGGAAGGGTGCTTACCTTGGCATCGCGGGCCGCCGGCAGGGCTCTCGGCGGAGAAGCAGAGCGCGCCGCTCGGTGCGCCATCGCGCCCGGCTCCGCTCCGCCGCCGCGGGTTCCTCGGGCGCCGCGCTCGGCTCCGGCCCCGGCTCCGGCTCCGGCCGGGTCTCGCCGCGCGTCCCTCCGCGCGCTCCCCCAGCGCGGAACCTGCCGGGCGCGCTCGGCTCCTCCGATCCCTCAGCACCCAGCGGCGCTCGCAGCCTGGGCGAGATGGAGGGCGCGGGTGACCTCCGCCTCTTTCTCTTCTGCCTCCTCTCCGCCCCCTTTTCCATGAGCCCAGAGCCGGACCCGGAGAGACGAGGGCATCCCGCTCGGATGCTACGGCACCCCCAGCAGCTTCAGAGCTGCCCTCTCAGCAGCCCGACCACTTAGGGAAAAGTTTTGTTTTAACTCATTTTCAAGCGAAAGGCGCCATCTCTAAGGCTGCAAAATAGGAATCTGGAGAGCTGAGGAAAGCTTACAGACAGCTGGCTTGATAGCGTGTTGGACTGTCAGATTGCAGTTTGCAGAGCGAAATCATCCCAAATCCAGCTCGAAAAGGATAAAGAAACCAGGTAGAAAGAAAGAGATGGTGTATTTGAAGAAAGGCTTAGTGGCTGATATCCCCAGGGGTTAAAAACAGGTAGTCAAGCCACGTGTTGTAAATGGAAACAGTCCCTGCCTTAGGGTTCGCTGTCACTTAGAGGACTGGACTATGTTTCTGGCTTTCTAAGGAATGTGAGAAAAGGGATGAGAAGTATTCTTGAAGGGCGCCTGCAGATAAGGGATTGTAACATTTTAATGATTAAAAAAGCCCAATGGTGAGAGAATTTCTAGATATATTTACCCAGAGATGTGAATCTAAAAATTTTGTGCAGAAAATTTCGTGATCAAGTAGACAAATATCCACTACTTCATAAGAAACTGTGATTTGAGCCGTTTTAATACTGTAACTGTTTTTTGCTAATATCATTTTGACCCATACCTATTAACTGTCTCATTTTTCCAGGTAACCACGTATGGGAATCTATTACTGATCTTTGCTCTTTTTATTTTAGTAAAACGTTGTTACCACCTATGTGAAAAACCAGTGCCACATGGAAATAAACCCTCTTTTCTCCATTCTAAAATCAGAAGAGGCCTCTAAATTTCTGGAAATTGAAAAGGATCATAAAATGCTGAAGCGAGATAAAATAAATTAGTCATTAACTACAGAAAAGAATGATTGCACAGTTTTCCCTTGTGGTAGATACTGAGAATTTTTTTAATGATATGATCATGACTTGTAAAATAAACTGTTACTCGGGTATGGTCAGGAAATTGAACAAGTTAGTTAATCAAATGTTCTGGTTAGTAGAGAAACATTATGTCTGGATGGCCAGTATCCAAAGAACAACTATGTGATAAACCACATTGAAAATGTGAATGACATAGAGTACCACTTTTCCTTTAATGATTAATAGCACTTAATCACATTACATTGCAATTATCTGTTTACTTATGTCTCTCCCACTGAACTGAATTCCTGTGGAGGTCTTGTTCATCTCTCCAACCTCACCTGGAACTATGCCTGGTCACCTATCAAATGTTGCTTGAATTTATCAATTGTACAGTCAGCATTTCCAGTATTATAGTTCGAGATCTGGAAAACTCTCCTTCTCTCACTGGAACCCCTAACTAATGTCAGCTGCTCTATCTACTGGGTAAAAAAAGAAAAAAAAAATCTCATTAATGCAATGTCAAATCATAACATTCGTTATGTAATATATCAAAACAATAGTAATTTATTTTTCAAAGTACTAGATAAATCCCATTTTTTAAAAACTTATCTACTTTGCATGTATTTTTAGAGTTCCTTTTTTAGAATCTATTCCTTAATCAAGGAATTTCAGCTGAGTATCAATAAAAGATTCTAAAGTACCTACATGTCTTCTCGTAAATATAGAAAGAATATCTTGCTATTAGTAGAGCAAGCTATTAATTTGTATGGAAGATTAAACAGCTAACTACTCTTAAAAGAAAAAAATAATAGCACACACGTGTGTGTATGTATCTGGCCTTATGGGACCCAGATCTGATCCCCTATTCAAAGTTCCTAAAGAAAGTCTTTGACCGCCTGCATAAGGAAGAAGAGCTGGTGACTCAGCGGATGAGGAAACAAGCAGATCAAAAATTAGTGGGGATGGGGGATGGCTGATAAACTCTTTTGAAAAGTGGTAGCTTGTATTCTGATATCTGAGAAGTGGACCCCCGTAAAACTATTCACTCATACATTTCTTCAGCAAAGGTCTTCATTGCCTACTTTATGTCAGGTGCTGTTTCTAGAAGGCAGAAGTACAGCTGTGTGAACAAAGCATACTAGTCTCTGCTCTGGTGTGGCTTCTAGGCTCGGGGAAGGCACGCACTTTTGTGGCATGCGTGCCTGAAACCTTGATGTGATGTTAGATGCCCAGGGCTCCCTTTGTGTCAAATGGATGCAAAGCTGACGTCAGCCTGTCTCCAGGGAGATAACATCCTATGACAGGTGTGTGCTTGGCAATCACTTTCATTCAGGATTAGATGCAGGACGCTTCCCTCCGAAGATGTGCACACTATAAATCAAGTCAGAGAGACAGGGACTCAGTGACACGGAGGTTGAACTAAAAACTCCATAAAAATCAAAGGGAGTGTTGGAAGTTGATTTTTATAGTTTTAATAAAACTGTCTAGAAAGGCTTTTCTGGAATTTCCCATAAAGATTAATAATAGAAACATGCCTCAGTTTGGTAGTAATGAACATAATAATACCTTCTTTTGTCTTTTTATTTTTATTACATAACTATTTGATGAAAACCGTACTAATAGCAGCAGAGCATTGTCTGATATGGCGACAGAAAATGAGAGGATAGCACGAAAAGACTGGGCAGGGTTTCCCTCTGCTGTAACGTAGGGTCACTAGGAGTCCGAGTATGGAAGACACTAACAACAAAACTATTTGATACAAAAAAAGTAACATATGTAACACATTTGTAAGTTGTGAATTATAACATAAATTAAAACATCCATGCACCTACTACCTAATTTAAATCCACTAAGGGATTCCTAGGGCTGCTATAAGAAAGTATGTACCACAAATGTGGTGGCTTAAACAACAGAAATTTGTTCTTTTACTGTATGGAGGCTAGAAGTGCAAAATCAAGGTGTTGGCAGGGTTGGTTCCTTCTGAGGGCTGTGAGGGAAAATCTGTTTCACGTCCTTTGCCTACCTTCTGGTGATTTGCTGGCAATCTTTAGCATTCCTTATCTTGTAGATGCATCACTCCAGTCTCTGCCTTCATTTTCACATGCCATTCTCCATGTCTCTGTCCTCACATGGCCATCTTATAAGCACCCAGGTCATATTGTAGTAGGGGTCCACCTTACTCCAGTATGACCTCATCTTAATTAATTACATCTGCAACAACTCTATTTCCAAATAAGGTCACATTCCGAGATACTGGGGGTTAGGACTCCAACATACGTATCTTTTTTGAGGGAAGAGCGATTCAATCCATAACAAGGACTATACTCGATCATTTCTGCTATTGTTACGTCTATCGGTATGTTTCTGCCCTCATTCCATTCCTCTGTATCCTGCCCCCAAAGATAACAGATGTAACCACTATCCTGAATTCTATGGTTGTCATCATTCTCTTGCATTTTATTGTTTTATCACATAAACATGCATATGAACCAATATATTATTTAATTTTCCTTGTTTTGTAACTTAATCTTCTGTAACTTGCTTTTTTCGTTCAAGATTTATAAGATTCACGTATATTGTTGTATGCAGTAGTACTTTATTCATTTTCAAAGTTCTACAATACCTTAATGTTTTGGTATCCAAATTTTTTAAATATTATTCTGTCAATAACCATTGGAATTATTTCCAATTTTTTGTCCTTAGAAAATATTCTACTATGGATGGTCTCGTACTCATCACCTTGTGTGGGAGTTTCTCTAGGCTATATACCTAGAGTGAGATTAGTGGGTCATAAGGTATGAGAATGTTCAACTTTATGAGATAACACTAAAATCTTGTATCAATTAATTCACATTCCTTCAAACTGTACTTAAGAGTTCCCCTTCAGCCACATTTCTGATAATGCTTGGAATTGTCTAGCTTCTTACCAACCAGATGGTTGTAAAAGGAAATCACATTGTGGACCTAAATTATATTTCCCTTCCCATTCATGTTTCTTCTGTGAAATATCTGTTCATCTCTTTGTCCAATATTTTAATGCATTGTTTTTCTTCTTCTTACTGATTTTTTGTGTGTTCTAGATACTAATCTTCTATCAGTTATATGTTTTGCAAACATCTTTTTCCAAACCACAGCTTGCCTTTTCATTTCCTTTATGCTATCATTTTTTACAAGCAGTTCTTAATTTTAATATGATCAAATTTAAATATTTTAAATCTCATCTTTTGTGTTGTATTTTAGCATTTTTTGTTTCACATGTTAAAATCCTTCCAGATTGTGGATTATAAAGATATTCTACTCTCTATTTTCTAAACATTTTAAGATTTGTGCCTTCCACATTTAATTCTTTAATCCTTCAGATAATGATTTTTGAGTACTCTGTGAGGTGGGAATCCAGGATTTTTCTCCATATGGATAACCAACATTCATGGTGCCATTATTAAATAACTCCTCTATTATGAGTTGAATTGTATCCCCCAAAATTTATATGTTGAAGTCCCAAACCCCAGTACCTCAGAATGTGACTTTATTTGGAGATAAGGTCTTTATAGAAGTAATCAAATTAAAATGAGGTCATCAGGGTGGGCCCTAATCCAATATGACTGATGTCCTTATGAAAAGGGGAAATTTGGAGACAGACATGTATACAGGGAGAACACCATGTATAAACATGAAGATGGCTGACTATAAGCCAAGGAGAAAGGGCTGGAACAGATCCTTCCCTCACAGTCCTCAGAAGGAACCAACCCTGCCAACACCTTGGTTTTGGACTTTTAGCCTCCAGAACTGTGAGACAATGAATTTCTGTTGTTTAATCCACCCAGTCTGTGGTACTTTGTTCTGGCAGCCCTATCAAACTTATACACCCTCCATTACCCCACTAACCTGGAATATACATATCTCATATATCAAGTTTCCATATTTGTATGACAAAATTATTATTTGTTGAGTGCCTACCATATGGTAAAAACTATACTAGGTACTTTAATCATGT